GTAACCCTAAACCTTGAACCCTTAACCCTAACCCCCCCCTAATTCAAAATGGGTTTTACAGGGCGGGGCTAATTCTGGGTAGATTTAGGCCGATGTATTTCTATAATTAGGGGGGCATTTAATAAATGGGGGAAGGGATTATTACTAAGGCCCTGAATATAGAACCCTATTTTCGATCCCTTGTAGAACCCTTTAAGGAACCCTTTAAAGGAACCCCCCCCCCCCAAACCCTGTTCTAATTATTGAGGCCCTTGTGTTACACAGATCTCCTACCCAGACCCCCAAAAGGATCTAAAACATAGATCCCCTAATTAGGGACCCTAACTACTAAAGGGTACGCTATAGGAACCCCCTTAGGGGATCTATTTTTTAGATCCTTTTGGGGGTCTGGGTAAAGGAGCCCAAGCCTCGCAACACGGGCCGCCCATAGTTAGAATAGTGTTTCGGGGTTCCTTTAAAGGGATCCTCAAAGGGTTCAATAAGGGATCTATAATCGGGTTCTATACTAGGGGGCCGCTGAAATTAGAACAGGGTTTTTCAGTTTTGGGGGGTTTTGGGGGGTATATTATACCGTAATTGTAATAAGGAACCCCCAACATAGTACAGGCAATTATTAAGGCCGCCATATTGAAGCAACCCTTTAAAGGAACCCCCAAAACCCTGTTCTAATTATTATGGCCCCTATAGTATTTGTAATTATTAAGGCCACTTTTTTGGGGGCCGGTACGTTCTAAACCCGTATAGTAGCCCTTCTAGAACCCTTTGAGCAACCCTTTAAAGGTACCCCCCAAACCCTGCTCCAATTATTGATGCCCTTATATTACACGCATAGTATCGGTAATTATATAAAGGCCACTATATTGGGGGCCTTGATGATTATATTATACCGTACTTGTAATAAGGAGCTCCCAACGTAGTATTGGTACTTATTATGATCTATAATAGGGTTCTATATCAGGGGCCTTAATAATTATAATTCGGTAATTATGAAGGCCACCTTTTTTTTGGGGCCGGTACGTTCCAGCTCCCGGCGATGAAGTATCGGCCTGGGCTCAAAAATGTCAATCCTCAAAACGGGCCGTTTTTGGGGGGATCCGTAGAGAGAGACGCCAAAACCCCTTAATTAAGGAATATACCTTAAATCTTACTAGGGTTCCTATTATAATTTAAGGTATATTCCTTAATCAAGGGGTTTTGGAGTCTCTGGGTAGAGAGCCCTTGACAAAAGGAACGTAGCGTGGCTCACGATCCCTAGGCCCTAAACCCAGTTTTCCCCCAAAGAGCCCCACACCCCACAGTTTTTTTCCCGTTGTGAAGACCCCAGCATTCAAGGTCTACCTGTTTCACTTTTTTCTGCAAGTCTCTGTGCCAGCTTTTTGGGTTTAAGGCTCTAGGGATTTAAGGGGTCGAGGCGTTGGCATCTAGGGGTTGCTGGATTACCCTGAACCCCTACACTCCAACCCGAAAGAGTGAAATGTGAATTTAGGGCGAGGGAGTTCAGGCATCGCGTAACGGAGCGCAAGGTCCGAAACCCAAGACCTACGTTGTGCATGAGCCACATTTTCGAGAATCGTAAGGCCTTGCATTTCGGAAGCAACAGTTACAAGAGTATAACCTTGGGTACTCCCCCCATACAGTAACAGTCTATAATAGGGCTACTATTAAGAGCCTAATATATCCATAATATAAATATCATCCGACTGTTACTGAGTGGGGGCAGTACCCAAAGTATAACTGGCCTATAGCTTCAGACTTCAGGTCAGCCTGGGCGACATGGGGGTTTCCGAAAATAGGGGACCCTAATGTAGAACCCCAAATTGTAGGCTTCGTATTATAAGGACCCCAAAATTAAGTACCCCTAATTTTCGGAAACTCCCACATGAATCTTCTCAACATCCTCAGGGGTTGGTACAAACAAGGAGATTGCTCGACACAACCTGCAGTTGCACGGGCTGAGCAGTTGATAAGGCTCTTTTAAAGCCCTACCTTAACCTACCAAAACCTACTTGTTTGTAGGTTCTCATTATAAACCCTAATATGGAATTTATAGGGACCCTACAAAAAAGTAGGGTCTGGTAGGTTAAGGTATACATGGGTTGTTTTAAAGGCGTGTCAAAACCGATTGCAAAAGCGAATCACCGATTTTCGAGCCCAGGGCCCCCGACCCATGGTCCGTGGCAAGCCGTTTCGCTGGACGTTTCGGGTATCCAGCCTGAAACCCTAAACCCTAAACCCTAAACCCTAAACCAGCGGGAACAGAGGAGACACTGAGGTCGCGCTTCCATCGGGTTCGAACGTGTCAGGGTGCGAAGCTGATTTTGGGACCTAAAGTCCCAATATAGAGGCGAACAAAACTCGAACAGTTTCTGGTGCTACAATATAGGGGCCACAATAAGGAGAGACGACTCTGAGGGATAACTCAAATCTCTTTGCACAAGACCTCTTACGCAACTACAAAAGCAAAACTGAAAAAAAACCTCCATACAAACCCGCGTAAAACCAAAACAACGTTATAGGTGGAAACCAGAAAGCTGGAACATCATTATCCTCATGCCCCGAAGGTGTCCCGGCACTAATCATCCTAAATCCATGTTCCAACTTTCTGGGAGTCACTATGATTCAGACCCCTTGATAACACCCCCTTATGGAATTACGAAAGCAGCCTCTCCACACAAACCCGTATAAAACGGTGTAGAACCCTTATGCTCCCAATACAAGTAATTACCAAGACTATTGTATGGTTCCTTAATATCATTATCGCATGATATACCCCCCAAAACCCCTATTCTGAACTCTTAAGCTCACTACACCATAATATCCTCATAGTAAGACTCTAGTGATCCGTATAGAACCCTCCTTTAAGAACTGTTTAAGTGACAACCCAGACCCCGAAAATGATCAACAAAAATAGATCCCCTAATTTTGGACCCTAACTACTAAAGGGTACTTTATAGGAACCCCCTTAGGGGATCTATTTTTAAGATCCTTTTGCGGGTCTGGGTACTTCCGTGGTCTAACCTCCATAAACAATACCTACTTT